AAAACAACTCAAAAAAACCCACTCTTCCCTTCCAAATCAACCAACTCCTCCCCCCCTTCACCCCCTCCCCACTTCTCTTCAACTTCAAAACACCCCCCCTTCCACCCTTCTTCTCCCAACCCACCCCCCCCACCACCCAACACTCAACACAACAACACACCCCCACCACCAAACCACCCCCCCCCCCCACCTCTTCTTCTTCTTCTCATTCTTCCATCCCCTCCCATCCTCTTCCTACTTCTTCATCCCTCAACCCCCCCCCTTCTCTTCTTTCTTCTTCTTCTTCTTCCCTCATCCCCCACTCTTCTTTCTTCTTCATCCTCATCCTACTTCTTCTTCTTCTTCTCTTCTCCATCCTTCTTCTTCATTCCTTCCCTTCTTCTTCTCTCCTCCTTCCGTCCTTCTTCTTCATCCTCCCCCTTCTTCTCTTCTTCTTCTTCCTTCATCCTTCATCCCTCTTCTTTCAACTTCTCCTCTTCTTCTTCTTCCCTCATCCTACTTCTTCTTCATCCTTCTTCTTCTCTTCCTTCATCCTCATCCCCTTCTTCCCTTCTTCTTCTTCTTCTTCCTCCTACCTTCTTCTTCTTCATCCTCATCCTTCCTTCTCTTCTCTTCTTCATCCTCATCCTACTTCACTTCTTCTTCTTCATCCTCATCCTACTTCTTCTTCTTCTTCTTTCTTCTTCATCCTCATCCTCTCTTCATCTTCTTCTTCTTCTTCTTCTCATTCCTCATCCAACTTCTTCTCTTCCTTCTGTGATTCTAAGATCGACGGCACTCATCTGCATGTCATACTGACTGACAGTATTATTTCTCTTCCCCAGCAGACTCCAAGGGCATTTAAATTAAAGGTACAGTGTTCTGAACTAATATAAAGGCTCTCTGAAGCCTAGAAACACCCTTTTTATAAGTTAAATTCGCAGCGAATAAATTTGCATCGAATCGAATTTATTCCACAAATTCGGCGAATCAGCCGAATCGAATTTTTGAATAATTCGCTCATCTCTATTGCTGACCTCTGCCTGTATCCTGACCATTCTCTGCCTGCCGTCTATGTCTGAATCTGACCGTCTTTTGCTGACCTGGCTCCCCTGACCACACATCCAGTTATCCGTCAGTCCTGCTCTGCATGCTATCTGGTCCCTGCTGGTCCTTCACCTGCTTTGTGCTTCCAGACTCTCCTGCAAGTGCAACCAGCCAGCTACCTGCCAAGTAACTGCCCCTGCTGTCTGCCCTTTCTGGGGTCTGTTGCTCCTGTAGCCATCTGCTGTTCTGGCCATCTGACCCATCCCTGGCGAAGCATCTGTTACTCACGGCTGCAGAAATGTTTCCACCACCATGTTTCACAGTTGGGATGGTGTTCTTGGGGTCATAGGCAGCATTCCTCCTCCTCCTACTCCTCCAAACACAACGAGTTGAGTTGATGCCAAAGAGCCCCATTTTGGTCTCCTCTGACCACAACACTTTCCACCAGTCCTCCTCTGCATCATTCAGATGTTCAGTGCAAACTTCAGATGGGCCTGGACATGTGCTTTCTTGAGCAGAGGGACCTTGTGGGCACTGCGGTATTTCAGTCCTTGTCGGCGTAGTGTGTTACCAATTGTTTTCTTGGTGACTACGGTCCCAGCTGGCCGGAGATCATTGACAAGATCCTCACGTGTAGTTCTGGGATGATTCCTCACTGTTCTCATGATCATTGACACTCCACGAGGGGAGATCTTGCATGGTGCACCAGTCCTAGGGAGACACACTTGTTTTGTGTTTCTTCCATTTGTGAATGATTGCACCAACTGTTGTCACCTTCTCACCAAGCTGCTTGGCCATAGTTTGGTAGCCCAGTCCAGCCTTGTGTAGGTCTACAATCTTGTCCCCGACATCCCTGGACAGCTCTTTGGTCTTTGCCATGGTGGAGAGTTTGGAATCTGATGGTTTGATTGCTCCTGTGGACAGGTGTCTTTTTATACAGGTAACACAATGAGATTAGCAGCACTCCCTTTAAGAGACTGCTTCTAATCTCAGCTTGTTACCCGTATGAAAGACACCTGGGAGCCAGAAATCCTGCTGAATGATAGGGGATCAAATCCTTATTTCCCTCATGAACATGCAGATCAGTCATCATTTGTTAGACGCATTTCTGCTGAATTTGTTGTTGTATTCTGTCTCTCAGTGTTACAATACACCGAACATTAGATTTTTAGACCGATCATTTCTTTGTGAGGGGTGAACATTCAACATCAGCAGGGGAGCAAATACACATTTCCTTCACTGTGGAAGAGGACTTTAAATACATTTTTGGGGGACACGGCAGTGGCGTAGATCACTCCGGCTGCACCCGAAAGTGGTTAAATAGTCATCTACCTCTAGGCCCTTAGCTGAACAATGGGATCTGGGAAGTTTTTTCTAATAGCTGCAGAGCATGGTGCCCAGAATGTGTGAGTCCAACTTTTCTTTCTGTTGATGGCCCCCTTGATGAATTGGCAGGTCCAGGCAGAGCGATGTGCACAAGGTGATTAGGGTGTGCCCAGGCACATCCGGCACACTCCATGTGCAAGCCTTTGCTTAACCTCCCTAGCGGTCTCATTATGTCCATATTTGTGTGCTCAAAGCGGTAGAATGTTTGCATGGAAATATGTAGTTTTTTTATTGTAGGCTGTAATTTTTAGGAATAACTCACTGAAATCTGTCCGAACAAGAGTCTAGTAAACATCCCGGGGATGATAAAATCTGAAACACAAAATCATAAATTATAATATAATAAATAATCATAAAAAATAATATAATAATAATAAATTTAATTCAATAATATAATCAAACCAAAAACACTGAAATGTGAAATAGAGCGCCAAGTTCGCACATCGCTGAGCTCAGTCGCAGAATCGTTTTCAGCGTCTGATGAGGAATTTCCCCCACCAATCATTATCACACTCAATTCTGCAAGTGGTTCTGATTTACTATCGCTGTTCTCTAGCCGGTCTAAAACCGCGTCTGACCTAAAGGGACGCTTTTTGGACGCCATGGACGTTTCTCAGTTTCCAGGCAGAAAGAACAGTAAAAATGCAGGCAGGGCGCCGGACAAAGCACTCGGGACAAAATGTATGTGAAATGGTTTGATACAGGAATGGAATACTATGTGATTTTAGTGAATGTCACTTTTTACAATTTTTGAATTTCCCGCCAGTTCCGTCCCCCGTACGTCCCGACGCTCGCAGGGAACAGAACCCAGAAGACAGATGCCGGCATCGGCCGGAGGACATTGCCGGGGACACTGCAGGAGGGACATCGCGGGAGCGCAGGACAAGGTAAGTGATCGAGGGATCCCGGAGCAACGCTGCAGTGTATATTCCGGAGAGTAGCTCGGGGGGGGGGTTACCGCTTGTGGTGCCGAAACTTTACCCCGAGCTACACTCGGGAATACCGCCAGGGGGGTTAAGGTATTAATGTTGAGGTAGGTAATCTGGTTTCCAGGCAGGTGCCTTCTACACCCCAGAGGAGAAAAAAATAAACCGAAGCGCCACAACACTGCTAAAAGGTCCGGATGGGACTTTGCTCCAATGAAGATCGGGGGATATTTGAAAGAGCAGCCAATGTGTTTCAGGCAGGGGTGGACTGACAACTCATGGGGCCCTGGGCAATAGGGGATTATGGGGCCCCTGTGACCTTGCCCAAACTCAAAAAAGCCTATGAAAAAGGTACCAGGGGCATCTCATGGGGCCCCCTACTGACCCCGGGCCCTCAGGCAGTGCCCGAGTTTCCAAATGGTCAGTCCGCCCCTGGTTTCGGGGGTCCAGTAACTCCCCCTTCATCAGTGCTTGAGATTGAAATGAATGTGAATGGACTAGGTGTGAACTGGACCTTTATTGGTATTTTCCCAGTGGGATTCTAAGCACAGATCATGCCTTGGGACCAGGGGCGGACTGACCATTTGGAAACTCGGGCACTGCCCGAAGGCCCGGGGTCAGTAGGGGGCCCCATGAGATGCCCCTGGTACCTTTTTCATTGGATTTTTTGAGTTTTGGCAAGGACACAGGGGCCCCATGGTCCCCTATTGCCCAGGGGCCCCATGAGTTGTCAGTCCGCCCCTGCTTGGGATTTCTCGGTGGCACATAAAAAAAGTCCCATTTTCCTGTCCTTGCCCCGGGAGAATTAGGCAGACCCCCTACCTTTAGCACAGTGGCAGTATTTGTTAAATATGATTGGAAATTCATTGACAGGTTTCAGTTGTTACCCAGAATTACTTGTAAAGATTTAATATACTGATTTTGTAGATACAGCTCTAGTTACATCATTTTTCCAGGAGGAGGAGCTATTCTAGATCAATATTTTGTTGGTGTAATAAAAATGATATTTAAAGCCTAGAAGTCTAATGCACCATTCCCTAGTAGGCTTCTAAAGAACCTTCGGCCCCGGTGCACGCAGTGGGAGGAGTTCTGCAAATACCAAAATGTCCTGATGGGCAGGTGTCAGTCTGGAGGGGCGGGCATACCTCGGCAGAATACATTTGCATGCAGACCGTCCACACGTGATGCTGAGCCTCCATGATTGAACGGACTGAAATACACTAAATTAAAAGGAAGGGGGGGGGGGGAGGGCAAGGACAGTCAGGCTGGGTAGGAAAGGGCTAGATGATGCTGGACATCCTCCGGCCAGAAAATGAGGTGGGCTCTATTTGACTTGCTGCAGCTTCTAATGCCCATTGTGAGAAGCTTGCAGTGTGCAGTGAAATCAGAGTAAGTAATTTCATGTCCAGGAGAGGAGCCGGTACACCTGTGCAAGACTGAAGGGGAGGAGCCGGTACAACTGTGCAAGACTAAAGGGGAGGAGCCGGTACACCTGTGCAAGACTGAAGGAGAGGATCCGGTACAACTGTGCAAGACTAAAGGGAGGAGCTGGTACAACTTTGCAAGACTAAAGGGGAGGAGCTGGTACAACTTTGCAAGACTGAAGGGGAAGAGCCGGTACAACTGTGCAAGACTGAAGGGGAGGAGCCGGTACAACTGTGCAAGACTGAATGGGAGAAGCCGGTACACCTGTGCAAGACAGAATGGGAGGAGCCGGTACACCTGTGCAAGACTGAAGGGGAGGAGCTGGTACAGCTGTGCAAGACTGTAGGGGAGGAGCCGGTACAGCTGTGCAAGACTGTAGGGGAGGAGCCGGTACAGCTGTGCAAGACTGAAGGGGAGGAGCCGGTACAGCTGTGCAAGACTGAAGGGGAGGAGCCGGTACAACTGTGCAAGACTGAAGGCTAGGAACTGGTACAACTGTGCAAGACTGAAGGCGAGGAGTCGGTACAACTGTGCAAGACTGAAGGGAAGGCCAGAAGTCAGATATAGGAAGCAAAAAGGCTGGGATGCAGGAGACTGGGAGGGGGCCCAGTGAGAAAGGGCCTACCTCCAGGTTGCATATGAAAAGGAGTATCGCTTGACCTCACCAGTCCCCAGAGAGAGGACCACCTGTAGAGCTAGGGAAGGAGCCAACCCAGCAGAAGGCCTAAAGGCATCCACCAACCGAACAAGCCTGCAGGCGAGGAACAGTGAGTAATCCTACACCCCTTGGGCCAGATAAGAGGAGTGGGAAACCTGACTAGCCCCCATATGGGACTGTGCACTTAAAGTGACAGATTCTGGAACACCTTGCTGAAGGATTCCCTCAGTACAGCTGGATGAGAAGAGGATTCATCTGGGGTGGTACACCAGGAGAGGCTGAAGAGCTCTCCAAGAGGAGATCTCCTATGGAGACTTGCACATAGTTATTCAGGAGTTGTCCTCAATTACAGTTCCCTTGGGCATCCCATACACCCCTCAACCCCATCCAAGTTTATTACCCCTTAATAAAATAACAAAAACAAGCCTAAGGTCTGGTTACTGCCTCCTGTGTGCAAGTTTGGAGGAAGAAAATGTGTGTTGCCTGGCTGTGCAGGCCTATAGTGGACTCAAAACTCAACAACTCCTAAGGGGGTAGTGCTACATTTTATTTCAGATTTTACTCAACAGCTGTCCTCATTCAAGGTCAGTGGACACCTATGGTTGGGCCACCAAGTTCCAGAGGTACAAGTTTGTTTTTTTCCACACCAATCTATGCTCGGCTGTCTGAGTCATCTGAGTACATTCGATGTGCCTTTTCTGCTTGGTTGCTCCAGCAAACTCCAGCAGCACATCTGCCTGGCAGTGCCAGCCTGGCCCGGCCCAGTGCATGATTTGTACAAATTTAGATTTAAGCTTTTTTAAGCGGCTTGCAGGTACTTAGTCTCCGTGCCATGAACACTTAATACTAAACCCCTTTTAATTTGCATGGTTCAACTCCACGAGATCATATCATTCGATGGGATGATTTTAATTCCCAGGCTGGAACCATTCCCCTCTGCTGAATTTTTTTTTTTTTTTTTTAATATTTAATAAGGATTTAACTTGCTTTATTGGACCCACAGGGTAACTGAATCTGGCTGCTTGAGATGGCACTGCCAGGCTCCCTCGGCTGCCACGCTGTCTAAACAAGGCTTAGGTCCCTTTGTGAAAAATTCATTGCGGGGGGATGATTAAGCCACAATAATGCTTCACTAACAAAGAACAGAGAAAACACGCAGCAAATATCAAAGCTTTCCAGTTTAGCTACTGAAATAATAGCTTGTTCGCTGCTAATCCTGGAGCACGGAATGATGGCGGCCGAGGCGGGATCCCCGGCAAGATGCCTGGCGGGCTGTGGGGTGAAATCGGCCACTGCGAGGGGTCATAGTCGGCAGTCGCAGTCTGAAGTTAAAATATAATATTAAAAAAATAATAAATAAATAAAATATAAATTGGATACATATTAAAAAATAATAAATAAAATAAATATCAATTATAATATTTCTGCTGACCTCCCCGAGAGAAAAGCCCTGACAAAATGTGCCACAGCCTTCATGATGCCAGTGGACACACCCAGGAGTTTCACATCAGGTGTCCATATATTAGAGCTCCAAAGTATATAGATGTCAGGTGTTGAGGATCTTTGACGTACGGGAAGGAAGAATGATAATTATCATCATGGATACAAATCCCGAGGCTTTCATCACAGCTTTTCAAGACTCAAAGACACCCCACCACCACCCTCAGTCCCCTTTGCACAAGTCCCCCCCCAAATTTACCTTAACCGCTTCCCAATTGCCGTATGGCAGAACTACAGCTACAGGGCAGCAGGGCTGCACAAAATCACGTATGTATATATATATACAGTCAGGTCCATAAATATTGGGACATGGACACAATTCTAAAATTTTTGGCTCTATACACCACCACAATGGATTTGAAATGAAACGAACAAGATGTGCTTTAACTGCAGACTGTCAGCTTTAATTTGAGGGTATTTACATCCAAATCAGGTGAACGGTGTAGGAATTACAACAGTTTGCATTTGTGCCTCCCACTTGTTAAGGGACCTTGTGTGTGGCCGCCATTATTTTCCAGCACTGCCGTAACCCTCTTGGGTATGGAGGTCACCAGAGCTTCACAGGTTGCCACTGGAGTCCTCTTCCACTCCTCCATGACGTCATCACGGAGCTGGTGGATGTTAAAGACCTTGCGCTCCTCCACCTTCCCTTTTAAGGATGCCCCACAGATGCTCAATAGGGTTCAGGTCTGGAGACATGCTTGGCCAGTCCATCACCTTTACCCTCAGCTTCTTTAGCAAGGCAGTGGTGGTCTTGGAGGTGTGTTTGGGGTTGTTATCATGTTGGAATACTGCCCTGCGGCCCAGTCTCTGAAGGGAGGGGATCATGCTCTGTTTCAGTATGTCACAGTACATGTTGGCATTCATGGTTCCCTCACATGAACTGTAGCCCCCCAGTGCCGGCAGCACTCATGCAGCCCCAGACCATGACACTCCCACCACCATGGGGCCCCAGACCATGACACTCCCACCACCATGGGGCCCCAGACCATGACACTCCCCACCCATGTATGACTGTAGGCAAGACACACTTGTCTTTGTACTCCTCACCTGGTTGCCCCCACACACGCCTGACACCATCTGTACCAAATCAGTTGATCTTGGTGTCATCAGACCACAGGAGATGGTTCCAGTAATCCATGTCCTTAGTCTGCTTGTCTTCAGCAAACTGTTTGCGGTCTTTCTTGGTCATCATCTTTAGAAGAGACTTCCTTCTGGGATGACAGCCATGCAGACCAATGTGATGCAGTGTGCGGCGTATGGTCTGAGCACTGACAGGCTGACCCCCCCATCCCTTCACCCTCTGCAGCAATGCTGGCAGCACTCATACGTCTATTTCCCAAAGACAACCGCTGGATATGACGCTGAGCACGTGCACTCAACTTCTTTGGTGTACCATGGCGAGGCCTGTTCTGAGTGGAACCTGTCCTGTTACACCGCTGTATGGTCTTGGCCACCGTGCTGCAGCTCAGTTTTAGGGTCTTGGCAATCTTCTTATAGCCTCGGCCATCTTTATGTAGAGCAACAATTCTTTTTTTCAGATCCTCAGAAAGTTATCTGCCATGAGGTGCCATGTTGAACTTCCAGTGACCAGTATGAGAGAGTGAGAGCGATAACACCAAATGTAACCCCCCCGCTCCCCATTCACACCTGAGACCTTGTAACACTAATGAGTCACATGACACCGGGGAGGGAAAATGGCTAACTGGGCCCAATTTGGACCTTGTCACTTAGGGGTGGGCTCACTTTTGTTGCCAGCGGTTTAGACATTAATGGCGGCGTGTTGAATTATTTTGAGGGGACAGCAAATTTACATGTTATACAAGCTGTACACTGACTACGTCACATTGTAGCAAAGTGTAATTTCTTCAGTGTTGTCACATGGAAAGAGAGAATCAAATATTGACACAAATGTGAGGGGGGGGGGGGGGACTCATTCCTGGGAGATTCTGTATAGATAGATAGATAGATAGATAGATAGATAGATATAGATAGATAGATAGATAGATAGATAGATAGATAGATAGATAGATAGATAGATAGATAGATAGATAGATAGATAGATAGATAGATAGATAGATAGATAGATAGATAGATAGATAGATAGATAATAGATAGATAGATAGATAGATAGATAGATAGATAGATAGATAGATAGATAGATAGATATATAGATAGATAATAGATAAATAGATAGATAGATAGATAGATAGATAGATAGATAGATAGATAGATAGATAGATAGATAGATAGATAGATAGATAGATAATAGATGGACTGTATGTATATATATATATAAAAATATGTTAAAAGCCAATTCTTTATTTATTGTCATTAAACTTCAATTGATATAACCTCATAACCTATGTAATTGTTACACAAGCCATATTGTGATTTAAAGTGTATATAGAGCCAAGTCTTTTTTTTTTTTTTATGTAGGGGTCACTTCTTTAAAAATGAGTAAATAAATAAAAAATTTACATATGCCATTCAGTTTTTTTTATTATTGAGAAGGGTCACTGTCTAAAAAAAAAATACATATACAAATAATAGAAAAGCCAATTTTATATTTAGTGTCATTAAACTTCAATTTATATAATTGTTACACGAGCCACATTGTGACTTAATGTGTATACAGAGCCAGATCTTTTTTTTTATTATTGTTTTGTAAGAGGGGTCACTAACATAAAAAAAAGGCAACAAGCCACATTGTGTTTTTTTGGGGGGGGGAGGGAGTTGGGGGTTGAAAGGATTCAGGGGCGGACTGACCATTGGGGAACTCGGGCACTGCCCCAGGGCCCGGGGTCAGTAGGGGGCCCCATGAGATGTCCCTGGTACCTTTCACAGGCTTTTTTGGGTGTGATTTGAGTTTGGGCAAGGACACAGGGGCCCCATGATCCCCTATTGCCAGGGGGCCCATGAGTTGTCAGTCTGCCCCTGAATAGATTAAAACCCCTATCAGGTTTTCACTTTCTGTCCAGGGGAACAAAAACAAACAGGAAATAAAAAGAAATATCTCCGGTCATTGAAAATCCACTCTTGTCACCAGAACATGTGTAGCCATTGGTTAATTTTATTTCTTCATGTTTTTTTTTTCTATACTTGTAGAAAAATGTGTGGAAAAAAAACCTGAGCCATTTCCTAACTCTGTGGCACCGCCACGCTTCTGCTGAAGGGCAGCACATTACTGTGCATGTTAGGAAAGCAGGTACCTTTGTGTGTGTTCCCGACATGCACAAGGTGTGAACCAAGTCCAACACTCAACCTCTATTTTTTGCTCCCTTTTGGCCTGTTAAATATACACTATATTGCCAAAAGTATTAGTCCAGCCCTCCCAATCATGTGACTCAGGTGTTCCAATCCCCTCCATATCATGTGATTCAGGTGCTCCAATCCCCTCCCAATCATGTGACTCAGGTGTTCCAATCCCCTCCATATCATGTGATTCAGGTGCTCCAATCCCCTCCCCAATCATGTGATTCAGGTGTTCCAATCCCCTCCATGGACACAGGTGTATACAATCAAGCCCCTAGGCATGCAGACGGCTTCTACAAACATTGGTGAAAGAATGGGTCGCTCTCAGGAGCTCAGTGACTCCAAGCGTGGTCCCGTGATAGGTGGCCACCTGGGCAATAAGTCCATCCGGGATATTTCCTGACTACTAAATATTCCACGCTCAACTGTTAGTGGGATTATAACAAAGTGGAAGCAACTGGGAACAACAGCAACTCGGCCACCAAGTGGTAGGCCACGTCACATGACAGGGCGGGGTCAGCACATGCTGAAGCGCACAGTGCGCAGAAGTCGCCAACTGTCTGCAGAGTCAATAGCTAAAGACCTCCAAACTTGGTGTGGCCTTCAGATGAGCCCAACAACAGTGTGTAGAGAGCTCCATGGAATGGGTTTCCATGGCCAAGCAGCTGCATCCAAGCCTTCCATCACCAAGTGCAATGCAAAGCGTTGGATGCCGTGGTGTAAAGCACGCCGCCACTGGACTCTAGAGCAATGGAAACGTGTTCTCTGGAGGGACCAATCAGGCTTCTCTGCCTGGCAATCCGATGGACATGTCTAGGTTTGGCGGTTGCCAGGAGAACGGTACTTGCCTGACTGCATTGTGCCAAGTGTAATGTTTGGTGGAGGGGGGATTATGGTGTGGGGTTGTTTTTCAGGGGTTGGGCTTGGCCTCCTAGTTCCAGTGACGGGAACTCTTAAGGTGACATTTTGGACAATTTTGTGCTCCCAACTTTGTGGGAGGAGTTTGGGGATGGCCCCTTCCTGTTCCAACATGACTGCCCACCAGTGCACAAAGCAAGGTCCATAAAGACATGGAGGAGCCAGTTTGGGGTGGAGGAACTTGACTGTCCTGCACAGAGTCCTGACCTCAACCCCATAGAACCCCTTTGGGATGAATTAGAGCGGAGACTGTGAGCCAGGCCTCCTCCCCCGACATCAGTGCCTGACCTGACAAATGTGCTTCTGGAAGAATGGTCCAACCTTCCCATAGACACCCTCCTAAACCTTGTGGACGGCCTTCCCAGAAGAGTTGAAGGTGTTATAGCTGCAAAGGGCGGGGCCAACTCAATATTGAACCCTATGGACTAAGACTGGGGGGCCATTAGAGGTCATGTGCGTGGAAAGGGCGGGGCCAACTCAATATTGAACCCTACAGTCTAAGACTGGGGGGCCATTAGAGGTCATGTGCGTGGAAAGGGCGGGGCCAACTCAATATTGAACCCTACAGACTAAGACTGGGGGGCCATTAAAGGTCATGTGCGTGGAAAGGGCGGGGCCAACTCAATATTGAACCCTACGGACTGAGACTGGGAGGCTATTAAAGGTCATGTGTGTGGAAAGGTTGGCCGACCAATACTTGGGGCAATATAGTGTATTTGTAGTCCCCTGCACCCTAAAACAAGGGGTTGGCATGTTGTGAGGTGGGAATCCTCCTTAAAACTGAACTCAACACATTCCATGTAAATATAGTCTTCAATAGCCAAAAAAGATGAATCCTGTTTGTGTGCAACAAGTGCGAAGACAGCTATTACCTTGTAAAAGTAGCAACAATATCACTTTGCTATACATAGCCTGTGCAGAGAGTGGTGGTCCAGCAGGCTCCACCCACTACAGGCTGCTTGCTGAAAGCTAGTGGAGAGGGCGGAGACAAGGCCAGTCATTGGCTGGAGCTAATAACTGACGTTTGATCTGACTGTATTTTGCTTTCCCTGCTTCCCACCTCCTCCTCATCAACATGCTGGTGATTTTTTTTTTGTTTTTAAATAAAACCTTCTTGTTTGCATTACATTATTTTACACTCAGTGATGTCATCACTGGGTCTCTGTCCTTCACTATGCAATACAGGCAGATCATGGCTGGTGGGAGGGGCCAGCAGGCTGAACACAGCTTCCTGTAAACATCACAGCACCCCACCAAGAGCCTCCAGTCCTGATGCAAGCAATGGGAGGAGTCATGCAACTATCAAAATGCCTTGATGGGTGGATGTCAGTGTGGAGGAGTGGGCGTTTCTAGGCAGGCTGCCCCAGGAAACTCCCCTATGAATGAAAGCTCTGAAATCCAATGAATGAAAGGGGTGAGGCCAGGGACAGTTAGGCTGGGGAGGAAATGGCTAGATGATGCTGGACGTCCTCCAGCTAGGAAATGAGGTGGAGCTCCTGACTTGCTGCGGCTTCTAATGCACATTGTGAGAAGCTCCCAGTGTGCAGTGAAATCAAAGGAAGCCATTTCAGTCCAGGAGAGGAGCCGGTACACCTGTGCAAGACTGAAGGGGAGGGGCTTGTACACCCAGGGGCGGACTGACAAATCATGGGGCCCCCGGGCAATAGGGGATCATGGGGCCCCTGTGTCCTTGCCCAAACTCAAAAAAAACCTATGAAAAAGGCACCAGGGGTATCTCATGGGGACCCCTACTGACCCCGGGCCCTCAGGCAGCGCCCAAGTTTCCAAATGGTCAGTCCACCCCTGGGTACACCTGCGCAAGACTGAAGAGGAGGAGCCGGAATACCTGTACAATACTGAAGGGGAGGAGCCGGTACACCTGTACAAGACTGAAGGGGAGGGGCTGGTACACCTGTGCAAGACTGAAGGGGAGGGGCTGGTACACCTGTACAAGGCTGAAGGGGAGGGGCTGGTACACCTGTGCAAGGCTGAAGGGGAGGAGCAGGTACAACTATGCAAGGCTGAAGGGGAGGGGCCGGTACACCTGTGCAAGACTGAAGGGGAGGAGCCAGTATACCTGTGCAAGACTGAAGAGGAGGAGCTGGTACACCTGTGCAAGACTGAAGGGGAGGAGCAGGTACACCTGTGCAAGACTGAAGGGGAGGAGCTGGTATACATACCTGTGCAAGACTGAAGGGGAGGAGCTGGTATACCTGTGCAAGACTGAAGGGGAGGAGCTGGTATACCTGTGCAAGACTGAAGGGGAGGAGCCGGTACACCTGTGCAAGACTGAAGGGGAGGAGCAGGTACACCTGTACAAGACTGAAGGGGAGGAGCTGGTATACCTGTGCAAGACTGAAGGGGAGGAGCCGGTACACCTGTACAAGACTGAAGGGGAGGGGCTGGTACACCTGTGCAAGACTGAAGGGGAGGGGGTACTGGTACACCTGTACAAGGCTGAAGAGGAGGGGCTGGTACACCTGTGCAAGACTGAAGGGGAGGAGCAGGTACACCTGTGCAAGACTGAAGGGGAGGAGCCGGTACACCTGTGCAAGACTGAAGGTGAGGAACAGGTACACCTGTGCAAGACTGAAGGGGAGGAGCCGGTACACCTGTGCAAGACTGAAGGGGAGGAGCCGTTACACCTGTGCAAGACTGAAGGGGAGGAGCCGTTACACCTGTGCAAGACTGAAGGGGAGGGGCTGGTACACCTGTGCAAGACTGAAGGGGAGGAGCCAGTACAAGGGGAGGAGCCTGGCAAGACTGAAGGGGAGGAGCCGGTACAACTGTACAAGACTGAAGGGGAGGCCGGAGTTAATAATCCGGCAGCTCTATCGATTCATTAGCGAGTCGGAGGCTGAACACGAATCAGGAAACGTTTAGACGGCGGATTTCTTCGTTCATTTTTCTATTACGGTTTCCCGGGAATGTTCCAGACGTGAACGTTCCTCCGCGGCTGGCCGCCATAATGTACTGCAGACACGATTCTCATTCCTGGCGTTCACACATGCAGAAAGAATTTCAGTCATATTTCATGCCGAGGGACAGAAGTTCTGATTTAAAGAGAAAGTCTAAGGGCCGGCTCACACTACAGAAACGCAGTCCAGATGCATTTCTACATGCACGTTTTTTGCGCTTTCCGGTGCGTTTTTGACGTATTCCGGTGCGTTTTTAATGCATTCCAGTCCATTTTTTCCCCGCTCTTTTTCTTCAATTTAAATAGGGACATGTGCGTTCCAGTTGATTTTTGATGCGTTTTACAGTTTTGTTCAGAAAAAATGCAGCCTGTTCTACTTTTTTTTCTGCACCCGGAACGCGCTGGAACTGCAAGCACCGGTGTGATCTATGACACTGACAACCATATCACCGACTTTCTGTGCGTTTTGGATGCAGAAAAAAAAGCAACTGAAACGCATGGAGTGTGAACCGGCCCTAAAAGATTTCTTAGCCGCCATCGCGGTGTAACAAAACAAAAAAATATGTTTCTTCTGCTGGGACTCTTAGGAAGTGAGACTTCCCTTTTCTGGGTCGAGAGATATTTCTGTATGGGGACCCCTGACATTTGCCTGAACCAGGGCGGACTGACAACTCATGGGGCCCCCGGGCAATAGGGGATCATGGGGCCCCTGTGTCCTTGCCCAAACTACAAAAAGCCTATGAAAAAGGTACCAAGGGCATCTCATGGGGCCCCCTACTGACCCCGGGCCCTCGGGCAGTGCCAGAGTTTCAAAATGGTCAGTCCGCCCCTGGCCTGAACTCCGTTTGCTGCCTGATCTCCAGTAATATCAGACCACAGCGACTGAAACATAAGTCACTCTTGAGTTCCTCCTTCTCTTATCAACGGGACTTCTAAGCGGAGCCGCGCTCCGGGAGCACAGACGGGGAGTTTGTGGGGGACCATGAGACTGGAGAGTGCTAGACATCTGCAGTTCGTTTTGTTCCAAATCGAAATTCTGACTCATTTTTCATTATTTGGAGATTCGGATGTATCTGAATTTCCGAACTACAAGAGTAGCGACTTTAAACAAATCTGAAATAGAGAAATTTTGTCCAAAATTCAAATTCGAAAGCAAGAATAAAATAGAATAAAAACAGAATAGAAAAGAGTAGAAAATAAAAGAATAGAATAGTAAAGAATAGAACAAAAAAAGAAATCGAATAGAACCAGTGGTGTTCCTATGGGGGTGCGGACTGCACCCGGGTGACACCCGCCTGAGGGGTGACACCAAGGGCGGTCTGCACCCCCATAGTGATGCGTTCAGTCAGAAGCCCAATGATGGAATCATTGCCGGATGAAGGGTGTGCTGCGCCCCCTTCAATAACCATCCACTTCCGCGGCTCAGCCGTCATACTCCTTCTTCGCAGACAGAGACACAGCATAAGTGGGGGGGGGGGTGCCTGTAGCATCGCTATTCCCCATTACTGCCCCGCTGCCATCTCTCCTCCAGTCTGTCATAAACAGAGCAGGGGAAGAGTCCCCTAGGATCCTCCATAGTGGCCAGTGAAGAAAATGGAGGCGGTCTGAAATGAAGGAAAGAACATCTGAAAGGAGAGCGGCAAGGAATGATATGGGTGAAAGGAGAATGTCCGGGCTGGACAGGATGGATGGATGGATTTATAAAGAATGCTCACTGATTGTGAGAGAAGTCGCTGCCCCCCATCTCTCTCTTACCCCCCTCTCTCTGTCTCTTACCCCCCTCTCTCTGTCTCTTACCCCCCTCTCTCTGTCTCTTACCCCCCTCTCTCTCTTTTACCTCCTTTATCTTTCTTCCCTCCTCTCTCTCCCTTACCACTCTTTTTCTCTTACCCCCCCTCTCTCTCTTACCCCCTCTCTCTTACCCCCCCTCTCTCTTACCCCCCTCTCTCTCTTTACCCCTCTCTCTTACCCCCCTCTCTCTCTCACCGCCCTCTCTCTCTCACCCCTCTCTCACCCCCTTTCTCTTACCCGCCTCTCTCTTACCCCCCTCTCTCTCTTACCCCCCTCTCTCTTTTACTCCCCTCTCTCTTTTACTCCCCTCTCTCTTTTACTCCCCTCTCTCTCACCCCCTCTCTCTCTTACCCCCTCTCTCTTACCCCCCTCTCTCTCTTACCTCCTCTCTCTCTTACCCCCCTCTCTCTCTTACCCCGCTCTCTCTTACCCCCTCTCTCTTACCCCCTCTCTCTTTTACTCCCCTCTCTCTTTTACTCCCCTCTCTCTTTTACTCCCCTCTCTCTCACCCCCCTCTCTCTCTTACCCCCTCTCTCTTACCCCCCTCTCTCTCTTACCTCCTCTCTCTCTTACCCCCCTCTCTCTCTTACCCCGCTCTCTCTTACCCCTCTCTCTCTTACCCCCTCTCTCTTACCCCTCTCTCTCTTACCCCCTCGCTCTTACGTCCCCCCTTTCTCTCTCTCTCTTACCCCCTCTCTCTTACCTCCCCTGGTGATGTCATTTGTGGCGGAGTTATAAATGATTTATATGTTTTTGTTAATGTTTTGAATTTTATTAATTGGGCAATGGGAAGCCAGTGGAGGGATGTCAGAGAGGGGTGGAGGACACTGAGTGGAAGCCAGTGGAGGGACTGGCAGAGAGGGATGGAGGACACTGAGTGGAAGCCAGTGGAGGGACTGGCAGAGAGGGATGGAGGACACTGAGTGGAGGTCAGTGGAGGGATTGGAAGAGAGGGGTGGAGGACACTGAGTGGAGGCCAGTGGAGTGATTGGCAGAGAGGGGTGGAGGACACTGAGTGGAGGCCAGTGGAGGGATTGCCAGAGAGGGGTGGAGGACACTGACTGGAGGCCAGTGGAGGGATTGGCAGAGAGGGGTGGAGGACACTGAGTGGAGGCCAGTGGAAGGATTGGCAGAAAGGGGTGGAGGACACTGAGTGGAGGCCAGTGGAGGGATTGGCAGAGAGGGGTGGAGGACACTGACTGGAGGCCAGTGAAGGGATTGGCAGAGAGGGATGGAGGACACTGAGTGGAGGCCAATGGGGTGATTGGCAGAGAGGGGTGGGGGACACTGAGTGGAGGCCAGTGGAAGGATTGGCAGAGAGGGGTGGAGGACACTGGGTGGAGGCCAGTGGAAGGATTGGCAGAGAGGGTTGGAGGACACTGATTGGAGGCCAGTGGAGCGATTGGCAGAGAGGGGTGGAGGACACTGGGTGGAGGCCAGTGGAAGTATTGGCAGAGAGGGGTGGAGGACACTGATTGAAGGCCAGTGGAGGGATTGGCAGAGAGGGGTGGAGGACACTGAGTGGAGGCCAGTGGAGGGATTGGCAGAGAGGGGTGGAGGACACTGAGTGGAGGCCAATGGAGTGATTGGCAGAGAGGGGTGGAGGACACTGAGTGGAGGCCAGTGGAGGGATGGGCAGAGAGGGGTGGCAGATACAGAACGGTTAGTAAGGCAGATGAGTCTGGCAGCAGCATTCATGATAGACTGAAGAGGGGATAGCCTGCGATGAGGTCGGTCAATGAGGAGGGAGTTACAATAGTCAAGGCGAGAGATAACCAGGGATGGAATAAGTTGCCTAGTGGCTTCAGAGGTTAGGAACGGCCGTATCTTGGAGATGTTTGCAGAGGTGAAGTCTACAAGATTTGGACAGTGATTGTATTTGGGACTGAAAAGACAGATAGGAGTCTAGGATGACACCTAGTACCCTGGCATGAGGGGAGGGACTGATGGTCGTATTATTGATCTTGATGGAGAAGTCAGGGGAGGGGGCTGTAGGGAACTCAACCCGCCGTGTTTGGAGGAGGAGGAATGCTGCCTATGACCCCAAGAACACCATCCCAACTGTCAAACATGGTGGTGGAAACATTCTGCTTTGGGGGTGTTTTTCTGCTAAGGGGACAGGACAACTGCACCGCATCAAAGGGACGATGGGCGGGGCAAAGTACTGTCAAATCTTGGGTGAGAACATTCTTTCCTCAGCCAGGGCATTGAAAATGGGTCGTGGATGGGTGTTCCAGCATGACAATGACCCAAAACACACGGCCAAGGCAACAAAGGAGCGGCTCAAGAAGAAGCACATTAAGGTCCTGGAGTGGCCTAGCCAGTCTCCAGACCTTAATCCGTCTTAAAATCTGTGGAGGAGCTGAAAGTTCGAGTTGCCAAATGTCAGCCACCAAACCTTAATGACTTGGAGAGGATCTGCCAAGAGGAGTGGGTCAAAATCCCTCCTGAGATGTGTACAAACCTGGGGGCCAACTCCAGGAAACATCTGACCTCTGTGATTGCCAACAAGGGATTTGCCACCAAGTACTAAGTCATGTTTTGTGAAGGGGATCAATCCTTCTTTCCCTCATGAACATGCAGATCAGTCATCATTTGTTAGACGCATTTCTGCTGAATTTGTTGTTGTATTCTGTCTCTCAGTGTTACACCGAACATTCCATTGTTAGACCGATCATTTCTGTGTGAGGGGCGAACATTCCATTGTTAGACCGA